TAGTCATAGCCATAGCCGTAGCCATAGCCATAGCCATAGCCATAGCCATAAGCATAGCCATAGCCAGCTTCATCCCCATAGTCATAGCCATAGCCGTAGCCGTAGCCGTAGCCGTAGCCATAGCCATAGCCAAGGCCATTGCCATAGCCCTAATATGGTTTTATATCACTAATGCAGACTGTGCTACCTTCCCCAACCTCACCTGTGCCCAAGCTCTCGGCTCGCAGGTCACCTCAACTCTATTCATTCATTCATTCATTCATTCATTCATTCATTCAGTCAGTCAGTCAGTCCGTCGGTCGGTCGGTCGGGCGGGCGGGCGGGTGGGCGGGCTCCATCCATCCATCCATCCATCCATCCATCCATCCATCCATCCAGCAAGCAATCAACCAACCAGCCAACCAGCCAACCAATCCATATCAACCAACCAATCAACCTTCTGAGCAGAATCCCATCTGTGGAGTAAGCCTCCAACCAACCAATCAATCAATCCATATCTATCCATATCATTCAATCAATCAATCAATCCATATCAATCCATATCAATCAATCAATCAATCAATCAATCAATCAATCAATCCATATCAATCAATCCATATCAATCAATCAATCAATCAATCAATCAATCAATCAATCAATCCATATCAATCAATCCATATCAATCAATCAACCTTCTGAGCAGAAATGGTGAAGAGCAAAAATATGTATACCTTCTCAGCTGAGTACCGTTTGTTCGGGATATCCTTGACTACCTCAGGCCGCTGCAAATCACAACCAACATGCCACAAATCCACACAAGGGTTGGCTTAACAGAGAACATCTTTCCCTCTATGTTCCCCTTTCTCCCAGGGGCTAGGCGTCAAGGTTTCCTCTCTCTCTCTCTCTCTCTCTCTCTCTCTCTCTCTCTCTCTCTCTCTCTCTCTCTCTCTCTGTGTACCCAGTTGACTTCTCTATCTAGTAATTTGGTAAATAGACAGGAATGTCAACCTAGATTTGGAAGAATGAACCTGGAATGACGGGAGATAGTTGTACCTGGGATGACTGGAGAGAGAGAGAGAGAGAGAGAGAGAGAGAGAGAGAGAGAGAGAGAGAGAGAGAGAGAGAGAGAGAGAGAGAGAGAGTGGAGTCTCCCTGTGGAGCGACTTACTCCACAGTGTAGGTAGTTAAGCACTTACCCTTCCAAAAAGTACCATAGCCATCGCGAATGATCCCAATACCGATATCGTCATGAAGCCAACATGCTAAATAAATGCCGCCGGCGCCCATACCACCATGATCATTGCCGTGTTGTGTTTACAATACAGTTAGATCACTATCGTCAAGGAAGAAAAACAGCATCAAAGAGATTGGTATTTCGGACTCTTTCCTTGTGCACGTCTTTTTTTTTTTCCTCCCC